TGTGTTAGAAAAGAGAAGAGAAACAAATTCCAGTTTGTGTGGGTGTTAAAAGAAGAGTGCTTGGAGGAGAAATGTGCTGGTTGGGTTGTGCTGAAGAGGAGAAGCCTATCTTGTGGTCTACAGCTCTCCCTCGTGAGCAATCTATCAGGTGCTGCCTGGTACTGTCTCCAGCAGATATTTTGGGCTGTGCTGCTGCTCAGTTTGTTGCTGATAGTGCAGGTGACAAGGTGCAGAATGTGGCCTGTCTGTCCAAGTGAACTTCCAGCCTCCCCCTGTGCCTGTGTGAAGTGCACAGCAACTCTTTCAGATACTCTTCAACTACCTGGGAAAGTTCCCTGCTCAGAATGCTGCTTCTGGGAGCATTTTGCTTTGTACAATTCACAGCTGCCCTCACAATAATATTTATTGGATTATACACTTGGTTCCTTGAGGTTTTGTGCTGTATATTGAAGAGTAACCCATATACCAGATTAATATGAGAATTATTCTAACTCATTTTGCTTTTAAAGCCTCTTATTAGCAGTGTTAATCATAATCTGAAGGCAATTTTGAAATAAGTGTGATCTATTTTTCCTTTTTCTCTTCTGCTCTTTGCTTGATTTTCCTAATTTGTAGGGTTCTGTGAATACAATTGAAGACATGAATCCAGAATCAAATCCTGCATGTGTCAGCATTGTTTCTTGCTTTTAGGGAATCTGTTAATGTTTTCAAGCAGCTTTCTGGGGTGTAATGAGAACAAAATAGATGACCAGGGTGCCTGACTCTTGCAAGTATTATACCCAATACAGAGCTATTATGTTTCTGCTAGGGCAAAGAGATGTTTCCCCTTGTCCAAAAACCAGGCACTTAATTACTCTTTGAGGAAATAATGGGAAGTTTGGATCTCTCTTAAGTGTTAAATTTCTTCCTTCAGATTCTGTACAAGGCAGTCCCAATGTCCAGAGCAGATTCCCAGAAGCAGAGCAGAAAACCTGTTGAGCTTTGCCCAGGTTTTAGGAGGTGCCTGATGAAGCAGAAGTGTTTTGTGAGAATGTTTTGGCAAACAAGGATTTCATTGGGAAAACATGCAGCAAGCTCTCTATAGAATATATATTATAACTTGCTTGGGGTGAAAAAATTCACAAATATTTTGTAGCTGCCCTCTGCTAATGTGTCATAACAAACCATTGGAACTCAAAGGTTTTTTGAATAACTGCAGTTTAACAACTTACCCCCCATCATCTGAACTATGCCCCATCTTCCTTTGTGGGGTAAATTTTATTGTAAATTATACTTTAGACCTGCTAAGTGTGGGTGTAGTTATTGTGGCCTGGCTGACATGCAGTAGTTAGTTACAGCTATGGTAAGTCTATTATATCTTGGAGCCCTGAACATCTGCTTTTCTTCCAGAGCAAACAAAAGGTCACTTGGACCCAGAGAAAACTAAATACAAATTAATTTACCTGTAGCTTGCCTGTACCATGTATAATCCTGTGCAGTTTTCCTCATTATCCAATTTGGGACCCTTTTGTTCTGATTGCTTGGGAGGTTAATTACAATGTACTGGGTAGACCACACAGGCAGTTTGTTAAAGTTTCTGTGCTGTGTGGTTGAGTCAGCACCGGAATGCCA